TGCAGGCTCAGAGGCCGGCAAGGCAGGCAGGAAACGTTGGTTTCCTCCGTCACTGAAGGAAGCAAGCCTCATGTTAGTTTCAAGCTGCCTGACTGCCGAGGCCATCTTGGCTGGCAGTTAATTTGCATATCTCGCTGATTAGCCAATGGGAAGGGTAGCGGTCATATGCCAATTACCATGTTTCTCTTTTATTAGGATTGTTATTTACTACTCCTCACCCAAGGATATGTGTCCATTGATTTGAGAGAAACATCAATCAGTCGCCTCTCAGATCAGCCTCGGTCAGGGATTCAACCTGAAACCTGGGTATGTTCCCTGACCGGGAATCAAACTGTGACCTCCTGGTTCCTAGGTCGACACTCAACCACAGAGCCACGCTGGCAGGGCCAGACTGTGATGACCTGACAATTGGGAGGACTGGTCAGGTGTATTGTAGAATCCCTTTAAGTGGGGTTTACCTGGAGTTTCTCTCCTGATTAAACGAGGGTGATGGATTTGGGGGAGGAAGACCGCCAAGGTGGGGTGACCTCAGCACACTGTATCAGGGCAGTACTGTCACCACGGCCGATCACTGTGGTGTGATGCTGGTCGCCTGGCTGAGGTTGTGTCTGTCAGGCGTCTCCTCCCTACAGGTGCTCCTTCCGCCCTTTCCAGGCTGTGCTCCTTGAGGGGACGTCCCTGTGCACTACCCGCACTTAGGGGTGGGAGGCACGTTCGGCTCCTGGAGGGCAGGGCTCAGCATTATGAGGACACCGGGTATACATGTATCAGCACGGACCCACATACAGTCAAGTGGTTCTTCGGTTATAGAATAAAACTACCTTGTTCATTTGTTGGTCACATGGTTCCAGCTTTGGCCACTGGAAGCCCTTTCAGCTGACTCCTGGGTCCCTGTCATGCCCATCATGGTGAGGTGTTTTTTTGTTTTTTGTTTTTAGCTCGTCCTTACTTTCTGGCACTATTAGTGGGTCCCCAGACCTAGAATCAGCCATTTCCCCAAGGAACCCTGGACCCTTCTCTGCACGTGGGATTAGAAACCAGGATCTGGGTGCTCACTGTGCACATTGCTACTGGGGCGTCATTGCTTCTGGGCCCCCACAGCTGGGGGGAAGGATATGTGTGTCAATCCATGTGGCTACGCGTGTAACACTGTCATAGATGCCAACCGCGTGGACACTGAGCCAAACGCTCATTGAGATGCCGGCTCTGACCACCAGAGATTGTCCCAGGCTCCCCCTTCCTTCTCTGCAAACACCCTCCCAACAGCAGGAAGCCTGGCTCCCGGTCCCCCACACCCCATGCTACGGACTTGATCCATTTCCACTGTAGGCAGGTAGGATTTTCAGAGCGGTAATCCGTGCCCCAGGCCCTGGGAACAACTTAGAAGTGTCTGTGTACTGTCCCACCTTTTCCCTTCGGTCCTAGGACTCCACTCATTTCCAAGGTTACTGGGTCAGCACCTTCCTCCGTGAGGCTGTGCTGTACATTTGTAATAGATCGTTTTGTCACACTCTGCATTCCATTCTGGGATCCCGAATCTCTTAATGATTTTTTTTAAATGTGCATCCATTGAGTTTCTCTGTGCACTGACACTCCCGTGCCCACAGTGTCCCTCACAGACATCGCACAGAGCAGGTCCAGGGCCGCGCTTCACACATGCACCCGCCTTGGCACCGCCCGATGACCGTTCCTGCTGCTGCCGGTTCCAGCAGGCACACCGCGCGCAGCTCTTTCAGGGGCTTCGCGGGCAACAGGCACTGAAGGGCAAAG